TCATTAACTTCAATCTCTAAAGATAGAAAAAGTCAGCTAGATATTGATCTTAGTTCTATGTCCAATCAATGCATTACCATCCACTGAACCAACTATCACAGCCCCATCTTCGTACACAATGCAGATCTTCTGTCCATCAGCATTCCAGCTCATACTTCGCACCACTGACTTATTTCGATTGTTGATCATCTCCTCATACCAAGAGCCTATTTTCACAAACCAAAAAAATTAGAAGTCAAAACTTTCACATCAATTAAAAGGTGCTTAAGAGTTGAAAGCATTCCATAAAGTACACTGTGGGATAAATAACTGCAATGTTCTCTACAACCTGAGGCATTAAACCATAAAATCTTCAAACCCAACATAAATAAAATGAAAAATTAACTCAGGCCCTAACTAATAATTATTGAAAAGATTATCACAGTAAACATAATAAACGTCCATCTTCTTTCTTTTATTCTTTTTTATTTCCCTCTCTGTCTCTTTCTTTCAATTAAAAAATAAACTTCATTTGCTTGTGCAGGGCCCAAACAACTGAGTTTTCTGAAATCTTAACTTTGTCCACTTGAACAACACACTTCAGTAATAACCAAAAAAAAAAAAAACCCAGAATAACAATAACTTTAATATGTATACATAAACTCTGCAATGATTAATTACATGCATATTAAATATAGCATGTTAGTTTAAGTCTGCTTGAAAAAATTCTTTAAAAGTTCCTATTACATTAGTGATATCACATCACTAACATTCTAGTTATATGCAGCGTTGGAGTGAATGTGATTTGTGTTGTAGTATAACCAAATTAAAGGCTATTTTGTTTCTGTTTTTCTTAAAAGGCTTTACTACATTCTGACATAAAGAAGTCTGGCCTGCAGCCAAGCAAATAATCATGTAATTTGGAATAACTAGTCAGAGTAGGGTATTAAAGTCAGGACTGAAGTCCAAAGAATTACTTTAGTAACAAACAGTATTTACTCCAATCTTCCGTACTTTCACATTTTACCCCCTACACATATATACACACAAACGTTTTAAAAAATTCAAGTATTACAGTATATTTTTTAATTAAGAACTTTCAAATGGTATACCCTGAGCCTTTTCAAAACAGCCTCCACATGAACTAAGGTATCCTTCCCTTTTGAAGATGATGGCTAAGGCCAGCCTCAGGAGAATATGTATTATGAG